CCCTGGCTTGCAGACATAGCTGGGGGCAGTCGTTGAGGTAGGGCCCCATGAACCCCCAAAAGACAACCATGTCACAAGTTTTTCTTCAAGAAGTTCTTCAAGAACTTCGTTTTCTTCAAGAAGTGTTGGACCCACCAGGCTGTGGTGGATATGAGGGCCTTTGGGCTGTGCCAAACAACAGCCTGTTTGACCAAGCTCTCACAAGTCACAGGTCCCTTGGGGGACCTTTGCCAAGCTGCCAGCTTCCTGTCGTCATCGAAGCCACTAGTATTAGTGGCCCTCAGGTAAAGGTCAAGCCTGGCTTGGGCCGGGCTTGGGGTGTAGAAGAACTCCCAGAACCCCATCCGGCAGGTAACTGCCTATGCTAACCAGGTAAAGATCCTGGGAGTAAGTTTCAAGCCAGAAGGGAAAACCCAAAAGCAATAAGCATAAAGTCCCTGAACCTCAAATTAATAAAGACGTGCTGGTCCATGTTAAGGAAATCCAGGTACACCACCCATGAACCCACCTGCAAAACTTGGCAGACTTGAACTAAAGTAATCATGCGTGAGGTTTGACAAGGACTGAAACAGATCAACACACAGAGGTCAAGAATGCACTATAAGTCTGTTGAGTCCCGCTTGGGAATTGGAAACAACTGAGACACCCAACAAAAAAATGTGAATACTGGTAACTCCAATACTGGAAGTACCAAAGCCCAATCAAGTTGCATTGACTGAAAAAAGCTGAGGGTAGACTTCAGAACTAAAAACTACCTGACACAAGAGGAGGGGTTGAAGATGAATTCCACTGAAGGCACTATCAGGCAATCCAGTAGGCCTACACAATGTGGGTCCAGGAGCTGCCATATAAGATCAGATATGACCCCCACAGATCATAAGAGGGGCAAATTATGAAAAAACCCAGAACCAAAAGCCTGTTTTAGAACACGGGCAAAGAGGGGAGAGAGAGGGAAAAAGTCTAGCAAATCCTGGAAGACAGAACTGGAAAGAGAGATAGAGGGGCAAACTTAGAGATGAGGAACCTGCCAGCCTCTCCAACTCGGAATCCCTGAACACCATAGAGGGCCAACTCCGTGGCATCCAAGCGAGCACCATGCCTTAAATAATGAACATGGGAAATTAACCTGTAAGACAGCAGCTGACTGGTAAGTCTCTTCCCTATGAGGCATCTCAGTGTGAATAGAGACCCAATGAACATGAATGTTGCATTCCTTCCTAGTAGAAGGTATCATTCACCCAATAGGCAGCATGGCAGAGACAACAAATAACCATCAGCATGTTGTAAAGTTGATGAACCTTCCCCAATCTTGCAAGTAGTGAGTGCAGGCTCAACTGACCAATCCATAATGAATCACAAAAAAGACACGTGGGACTTGCCAGGGCTCGAAGATAAACACCAAGGAGGACACCCAAGCACTAGGGGTTCTCACTGGATGACCCGACTCTAAATGCAGCACAGAGGGAAAATGTAGCTACAAAGGGCGTCATCGACACACCATATATTCAAGCATGCAGACCCCAGTATACCTCTTAATCACCATTCGGCCCCTCCAGAAAAAAAAACGCAGAAGGAACCGGAGAACAGGATAAATTGAGGGGTATGCAGGGATTCGCCTCTTCCTCAGCCCTTGAAGTCCCAAAAGATGAAGGAGCTGGCCACTCGTGGGGCAGTCAGATTTGTTTGACATCAGGCAAAGGTCTGGGGGGTTGTTGACAGGGGGGGGGGTGGAGCTCCCATGGTGCAGATGTCTGCAGGGGGTGGGTGGAGCTCCCATGGTGCAGTTGTCTGCAGGGGGTGGGTGGAGCTCCCATGGTGCAGTTGTCTGTAGGGGGTAGGTGGAGCTCCCATGGTGCAGATGTCTGCAAGTGGTGGATGGAGCTCCCATGGTGCAGATGTCTGCAAGTGGTGGATGGAGCTCCCATGGTGCAGATGTCTGCAAGTGGTGGATGGAGCTCCCATGGTGCAGATGTCTGCAAGTGGTGGGTGGAGCTCCCATGGTGCAGATGTCTGCAGGGGGTGGATGGAGCTCCCATGGTGCAGATGTCTGCAAGTGGTGGGTGGAGCTCCCATGGTGCAGATGTCTGCAGGGTGTGGGTGGAGCTCCCATGGTGCTGTTGTCTGTAGGGGGTAGGTGGAGCTCCCATGGTGCTGTTGTCTGCAAGGGGTGGGTGGAGCTCCCATGGTGCAGATGTCTGCAGGGGGTGGGTGGAGCTCCCATGGTGCAGATGTCTGCAGGGGGTGGGTGGAGCTCCCATGGTGCAGATGTCTGCAAGTGGTGGGTGGAGCTCCCATGGTGCAGATGTCTGCAGGGGGTGGGTGGAGCTCCCATGATGCAAATGTCTGCAGGGGGCGGGTGGAGCTCCCATGGTGCAGATGTCTGCAGGGGGTGGGTGGAGATCCCATGATGCAGTTGTCTGCAAGTGGTGGATGGAGCTCCCATGGTGCAGATGTCTGCAGGGGGTGGCTGGAGCTCCCATGGTGCAGATGTCTGCAGGGGGTGGCTGGAGCTCCCATGGTGCAGTTGTCTGCAGGGGGTGGGTGGAGCTCCCAGGGTGCAGATGTCTGCAAATGGTGGGTGGAGCTCCCATGGTGTAGTTCTCTGCAGGGATGGCTGCAGCTCCCATGGTGCAGTTGTCTGCAGGGATGGCTGCAGCTCCCATGATGCAGTTGTCTGCAGGGATGGCTGCAGCTCCCATGATGCAGTTGTCTGCTGGGGGTGGCTGCAACTCCCATGGTGCAGTTGTCTGCAGGGATGGCTGCAGCTCCCATGATGCAGTTGTCTGCTGGGGGTGGCTGCAGCTCCCATGGTGTAGTTCTCTGCAGGGATGGCTGCAGCTCCCATGATGCAGTTGTTTGCTGGGGGTGGCTGGAGCTCCCATGGTGCAGTTGTCTGCAAGGGTAGCTGCAGCTCCCATGGTGCAGTTGTCTGCTGTAGCAGAGGATGTATGATCTAACTACTAGCTGGATAGTTCACAAAGTCATTCGCTGTACGGCTTGGTAAATTTATGTGGACCTTGCAGTTATCTGTTGTACTTTGCTTACTTTCTGGAGGGTTATTTCTTCAATGAGGGTGATTATAAATGAAGTCAAATCAATTAAAAAAGTATTCATTAATGGTAGTAGAGTACATTTATAGGACTTACTGTAGTGTCTTGCTTTGTGCCACAGAGGTGCACAGAGGTGACATGAAGGTGTGGAGCTAAGTAACAACAGTCAACAAAAACAACCAACCAGTCAGAATAGAACCAGTGAAGAGCAGAGGTGCCATATGCACAATCAGAGAACACTGTATAAACATCAGAGGTCCACGGTTGTTCAACACCCTCCCAGCGAGCATAAGAAATATTGCCGGAACAACCGTGGACATCTTCAAGAGGAAACTAGATTGTTTCCTCCAAGGAGTGCCGGACCAACCGGGCTGTGGTGGGTATGTGGGCCTGCGGGCCGCTCCAAGCAACAGCCTAGTGGACCAAACTCTCACAAGTCAAGCCTGACCTCGGGCCAGGCTTGGGGAGTAGAAGAACTCCCAGAACCCCATCAACCAGGTATCAACCAGGTAATTAATGACAGCTAGAAGAGGACTGTCAAAGCCAAACAATGCTTCTTGCCTCATTGCTTGATATAGCTAAACACCAGGCAGGACGGTGGAGGCGTCTAGTTAGTAAGAATTCTCTGTGCAGCATTCTCCTTGAAAAGGTACCATTGGTTCCGGGTGTAATCAGCCGTGGTACACAATATTTCAGTTCATAGTACTTTGCATCTAAAATACCAGTGTTTCAATAACTAGTATTCCAAGGGTTACTTCAATCAAGTGTTACCAGAGTTCAGAGGCAAAGTGTATAGTTTACAATACTTTAGTGTTACAAAAAACTAGTGTTTAGTATAATTTAGTGTTACAATAGCCCAAGGACAGTTAAAAGCTCTGTACCTCAAGGTAAAATCCTTGCACCACTGTTTTTCCTTCTTCTCATATCAGATATAGATAAAAATACGTCACTGCTTCATGTCATCTTTTGCAGATGACAAAAATCGGTATGAAAGTTGCTTCTGGAAAAGACATTGAAAAACTACAAGCTGATATTAATAAGTTTTTGATTGGGCAGCATAAAATAACATGATGTTTAACAGTGATAAATTCCAGGTACTTGTGTATGGCAGAAATGAAGAACCTCATCCAGATGCAATCCAGGTACAAAGTTTTGATCCTGGAACATCATTTTTTTTTTCATTCAGGCTTTTGGACTCTGCTGCGCACAGCCTGCTTGATCAGTATCTTTTGGAGGAGTTTGTCGAGTCGAGTTTTTCTTTTCTTTTCAAGAAAAAGCATTGTTTGGCTTTGACAGTCCTCTTCTAGCTCTCATTAATTACCTGGTTGATACCTGGTTGATGGGGTTCTGGGAGTTCTTCTACTCCCCAAGCCTGGCCCGAGGCCAGGCTTGACTTGTGAGAGTTTGGTCCACTACCCGGTCCTCGACCAGGCCTCCACCCCCAGGAAGCAACCCGTGACAGCTGACTAACTCCTTGGTACCTATTTACTGCTAGGTAACAAGGGCATCAGGGTGAAAGAAACTTTGACCATTGTTTCTCACCGGCGCCCTGGATCGAACCCGGGACCACAGGATCACGCGTCCAGTGTTCTGCCCGCTCAGTCACTGGCTTCCTTAAAGCAAGATGGCAAAATCGAACTAACTGTCCTCCAAAGATTTTCTCATAGATATGTCATGTTTATTGTGATGTCATTGTGTACTGTAATGGAGTTCAGTAGGTTTTTGAAGTAGATAATCCTCTACAAGAACAGAGTTGTCACTCTTTCCTGTCTCTTACCTTGAGGTTACCTTGAGGTGATTTTGGGGCTTAGCGACCCCGCGGCCCGATCCTCGACCAGGCCTCCATTCTCATACATTCTGCAGCATTTTTGTCTTTAAAATTATCTGTCCATTCACTAGTTTTAATTGATGGCTTCTGATATATATTGCTTTCTTAATGTTTTGTTTAAGGTGGTGCATGTGACATATGAGACCATGGATGCAGCGAGGGAGGCAGCCCAGCGACTAAATGGTTACAATTTAGAAGGTGGCATTCTTCGTGTGGACCGCTTAATGGACCGAAGGCGTGGGCCGAGGGGTGCCATGGGCGGTGGCCCAATGAGCGGAGGTCGTATGGCAGGGCCAGGAACCTCCTCGCCATCTCAGCGACACACAGACTTTCCTCTTCGTATCCTTGTTTTGAGCGAGATGGTTGGAGCTATAATTGGCCGTCAAGGGTCCACAATCAGGACAATCACACAGCAGGTATGAAGCTTTCCTAGAAATTGACAAATTTGTAAATTCAGTACTGTACAGCACACTTAATAAATTCGTATCTGTTTGGAATAGAAAGTTTAAATTTATTACTTGTTATTTGTCTCTGCAGTCACTGAAATAAATGGCAAATTTCTTAGAAAATAAGCTTTAGTGTTAGTGCATTACCATAATATTTTTGTTATTCTAATATTGTCACCAGGGCATGTCTTAAAGACCTTTTGAATTTTTTAAGTGAAGTGTTATCTAAATTAACAAAATACAGTACTAAAATGTCTGATGATTTTGAGGTTTAGGGTACGAGTTAAATATCTTTTTAACAGACCCGAGCCAGAGTAGATGTTCACAGAAAGGATAACGCTGGATCGCTGGAGAAAGCCATCACTATTTATGGCAACCCTGAGAATTGCACTAATGCCTGCAAACGAATACTAGAGGTTATGCAAGAGGAAGCTGATAACACCAACAAGGGGTAAGCTAAATTGTTTTTATAGTCCATTGCAATGTGCAGAGCTTTGCAATTTACAATAAAATGTAAGGTGTGATAGTTAGTTTCTTTGTTATTACTTTCTTATAAGGTCATTTATTGGAAGCATTAAAGAAGAAAATAAAACTAGCATAAACTAAACTAAATTAGGATAAGGTCTATTATGTATGGTATTTTGTTAAAAATTTTACTACTACTATCGATTGCAGGATTTTGGAAGACTTGCAAGAGGAGGCTGAAAACACAAGCAAGGGGTGAGGGATTTTCTTTGTGCTAATTTTAAAGTATTCATTTATTTGTTAATATCTAATCAGTTACCAATGGAAATACTACTGTTAAAGTACAGGGAATTGCTGCTAGCTCCACTAATGGATCCATCTTAGGCCCCATTAACATCTGTTACTGTTACTGGTAACAAGTTAATGTTACTGGTAACAAGTTACTGTTACTGGTAACAAGTTAATGTTACTGGTAACAAGTTAATGTTACTGGTAACAAGTTAATGTTACTGGTAACAAGTTAATGTTACTGGTAACAAGTTACTGTTACTGGTAACAAGTTACTGTTACTGGTAACAAGTTAATGTTACTGGTAACAAGTTACTGTTACTGGTAACAAGTTAATGTTACTGGTAACAAGTTAATGTTACTGGTAACAAGTTAATGTTATTGGTAACAAGTTAATGTTATTGGTAACAAGTTAATGTTACTGGTAACAAGTTACTGGTAACAAGTTACCAGTCACCACTTTTGCTCTATCAGTGTCTTCAGTTTTCTTATGGATATCACTTTACACACACATACAGTACATATCTCTACAGGTATAAACATACGACAATTAAGTCTAGGGTTACGTTTTGCCAGAATTGAACAATAGGTTTTTTGATCGTGAATGTTTATTTCTGTATGGAACTGTTTAGGAAGCTTGGCCAAATATATTTTTAAGACATTGAAAGTAGAGAAACTTAAATCTTTTTAAATGGTGTGTTTGTAATAGGTTAATTAGGTATCCCGCTGAGTATTGTAGTGAGAGCTGCTTTACTCACACAGTTGAGCCTGGCCTCATGCCGGGCTTGGGGAGTAGAACAACTCCCAGAATCCTCTCCAGGTATGCTCCTGTGGGTGTTGTTAGGCCTGAACTTGTTGTATGGAAACAAGATTTCTTGTTTTATTTATCATGAAGGCTAATGTATTGTAGTATCTATATTGTAGGCTCAAAATGACAGTTTTCAAGTATAATTACATAATTTTTAGGGTATGTTCCTTGGGATCATATAGTGTTCTGATGTATAATTGTTTAGCTGTGTTGTTGTAGTTCATTGATAAAACAGATGGCATTAAAGATACAATTATAATATATTATTGAATGTGTTACTGTACTTATAGATGTTTTAAGATATCTCTAGTCTATAAGTAACCTACTCAAGGCTAATTAAATAGTACAGTACTTTAGTTTTCACAAATAACATTTTTATAACTTAAGGGTTTTACATTAGTCAAGATTAAGAGCGTCTTACCTGCATTTTAGAGGCTACGAGTTATTTTCTTACTGTAGATTAATATGGCCCTTGCTATGGCATTTGTTTGTTATAATATTTCCTCAGCAATGGAATGATTTTGCCATTAAAAACTCCTTTTACATTAACTTGAAACATACAAGTGTGTTTGTGAAATGAAGCTTCCTTTTGTAATTTTTTCAGGATCAGCTCTCGTTTCAAGTATTTATCCTTGTGCTCTGTTGTAGCTTTGAATTAGGGAAGCTTCAAACTTAAAAAAAACATTAATGTTACAATTAAGCCTCACTAATTCACACTACAGTATAGAAAACGTTGGTTAGAGTTAGCCTCAGGGACAGGGAGCCAGTCGGCCGAGCGGACAGCACGCTGGACTTGTGATCCTGTGGTCCCGGGTTCGATCCCGGGCGCCGGCGAGAAACAATGGGCAGAGTTTCTTTCACCCTATGCCCCTGTTACCTAGCAGTAAAATAGGTACCTGGGTGTTAGTCAGCTGTCACGGGCTGCTTCCTGGGGGTGGAGGCCTGGTCAAGGACCGAGCCGTGGGGACACTAAAAAGCCCCGAAATCATCTCAAGATAACCTCAAGATAGCGAAATTTCTTATTTTCTTTAACCCTTAAACTGCACAAAATGTCATATGATGTGTGACATTGAACTCAGTTTTTAAAATTTTCTGAAACTCTTTTCAAATGTTTTGTGCATAATCTACTAGGCAAATGTTCCAACTTTGTCTAAATGATACCAGTGTAACTTGAAAAACAAGAAAATAAAAAATAATTATAAAATTGAATATTGAAAACTTCATATTTTGAAATCATCTGCAAAAATATAAAAATATCACCATTGTTCATTTGGTGTTGTTATGCTCTTAGAATAGCATATGATCTTCATTTTAATATATTTAGATTATATAGCTTTTCAGTATAGTTTACTCTAAAAAAAAATTTGTCTATATGGCATTTGAAATATGTGCAAATTTAGACAACAAAAATTTATGACTCCAAACGTTTAGAGTTTATGAAAAATCAATTCTATAAGGATTGTAGAATAGACAGCTGTGCACTCTATATGTAAAAATGGTGAGAATCAGTCAGAAACTAGATTTTTGGATACTGAAGTAAGTTGAAATTCTAGATTTTTTTTTTTTTTAATATTTGTCTTAAAATAAATTTCTGAAAATATTTTGATGAAAGTTTCACGAAGCTGAAGCCAATAAGTTGGAGATTCGTTTAATATTTTTAAGTAATTTTTACATAAGTTGAATATTTTTCAAATTATACCCCCCTTCAATGTCACACATCATACGACGTTTTGCGCAGTTTAAGGGTTAACCCCTCTCAGTATCTGAGAATGTTTGCTTGCAGATCTCAGATTTACAATATTTTGTTTCTACAACACTTGTAAATCTTATCTATCACTAAAAGTAAGGCTCTTTGATTTTTCCTCTTGTAAGGCTGGACTGCAGACCTCGGCAACAAAACCACAAATAATAAATACCACTGGTGGGCCTGTGTGTTAGATGGTGATAGGCTAGATTATGACCTGTTCAGATTTAATGAATAGTCCAAGTGGCTACTCAAGTTTGACTCAATTAAGTGCAAAGTAATGAAACTAGACAAAGGAAGCATGAGACCAGACACAGAATAAAAAATGGGAGATAAAATCCTACAGGAATTGAGTGGAGATAAAGATTTGGGCGTTGATACCACACCGAACCTGTTTACTAAAGCTCACATCAAAAGGATATCTTCAGCTGTATATGCTAGATTGTTAGCATAAGAGCTTTTTTTACAAATTTGTGTAAGGAATCATTCATAAACTTATATACCACATGTCGGACCAATCTTGGAGTAATCATCTCCAGCATGGAGTCCATGTCTCATCAAGCACAAAACAAGAGTTATTAAAAGTTCGGAGGTATGCCATCAGACTAGTCCTAGAACTGAGAGGTATGAGTTACAAGGAAAGGCTATAAGAATTTAACCTCACAGTGTTGGAAGAGAGAAGAGTTAAGGGAGACATGATTATTCACATACAAAATTGTAAGGGGAATTGATAAGGTAGATAAAGCCAGATTATTTTGCATGGGTGATACTCACACAAGAGAAAACAAGTGGAACTGATTACCCAAATGAGCCACAGGCATTAGAAAAAAAATTAAGTATCACAGTAGTTAACAAATGAAATGCATTGACAAGTGATGTGGTGGAGACAGACTGTATACACAGTCAAATGTAGATATGATGGAGCTCAATAGGGTCTGAAACTTTTATGCCAGTAAATTGGATGTTAAGAGATGGGACCAGAGAACTGATGCTTAAACCTCCTCAAACATAACTATCTAAGAACAATTAAGTAAGAACTCTCAAAGTGAAACTTGGCTACATCATCTTTTTCAAATGAGATATATCAACGGCAGTCTCCGTGGCGTGGTGGTAAGATGCTCGCCTGGCATTCCACAACCGCTTTGTCCTGGGTTCGTATCCTGGCCGGGGAAGATTTATCGGGTGCAAATCCTTAACTGTAGCCTCTGTTTAACCCAACAGTAAAATGGGTACTTGGTTGTAAAAAAGATTCTTCGCGGGGGTCGTATTCCAGGGAACATAGGATTAAGGACTTGCCCGAAATGCTACGTGTATTATTAGCTGTACAAGAATGCAACAATGCAACAACTGTTTTGGAGCAGCCACTTGGTTTCTCCCTAAATCTATCTCACCAAGATTGCTCCTATCTACTAGGTCACATCAGTTGCTGGAGTTCTGTTTGGTTTACCTGGGACCAGAGCCAGAACCTGGCCTCCTCACAGGTGTAGGGAGCAGGTGTCACTTCATCAGCCCCATTGGCAAAGCATCAGCAAAGCATTAAACAACTGCAAGGTTAATGAGAATCAAAAACTTGAAAACTGCCGAACAACTCTCCAAACAATTAAAAAAAAAAACTCACTTGAAACAAATTGTCACCGGGGAGGGGACACAGTCTGGTCCTCCACCAACTCTCAAGTCATTTCTGTTGCTGATGTGTCTTCGACACCACTGTAGTGCTGCTGGGTCAGCATCAGTAGCAGCATGTCCCTATGCTTCTAAGCCAAATTGAATATCGTCCTGATGGGGGCCATTTGCTTATGTTATTGTTCCTTTTTGGTAGTAGCTTCACATGTGCATTTTCTATCCAGTTTGTTGTGTGCACTTGGCTCATTTTGTGTTTTGGGCCTCATGGATTCAGAGTCTTCTTCCCTGCCTGCTTGCTAGCACTTCTCCAGCACTGACAGTTACTTCTGTATGTTCAGGTATTTGTCCTTTCCAGTCCAGGTCACCAGGGTAGAATACTTCACATTGGGTAATTTAAGAGAGTCTTTAGGTCCTGTGCTTAGGCCCATGGTTGGGGGCATTGATATTCAGTTGAGTTGGGGTGCACTGGGGTACGTGCTCTAGTTGAGGTGGCATGGTACAGCTTCACTCCACAGTCCTATATGTGTGGCTGCACGTGTTGACTGTTCAAGTGAACATTTTCTGTGCCAGGGTGTCCTGTTTGGCTAGTTGCCTTCAGTCCCTGGTAATTTCCCTGCAGTGTATTATGTGCTTTACTATGGATCGGCCCGTCGAGCCCACACTTGCTAATTGAGAGTTTGAGGGGGTGTTCATTGACTTTGCCAAGTGGCGAAGATCGTTCTTTCTGCCACCATCATGCTACCTGTTAGGTCAGTAACACCTATGACCCTGAGTCTTGTGGATTTTATGCCCCAAGGATCTCAAATTTATCTGATCCTGCTTCTGAAATGGAAACTTTTCAAGCAACTGCAGTATTGTGGGCTAGGTTTGCAGCCCATGTTCAGCATTTGAAGCTTTGTGTTTGATTGAATGCCCTGGAGTTGGCCCGTATGGTGTTTTGGAACCTGGAATTGGAGGTGTTGGTGAATTCCACCCTGGTTCCGTCCATGACTTCTTCCTTCCTCTGAGGGTGTGGTACACCCTGCTTCTGCTTCTGAAGCATCTGAGGGTTTTGTTGTGTTTAACTCAGGGTTTAGCTCCTGTTGTAGCTCAGCCTTTTTGGAGAGGATGTTCCTTCTTTTTAGAGTAGAGATAATTGAAGAGCCTTGTCCCACCAGGGAACGTATTTTTGACTTCCCATCTGCTTCCCTACTTCATTTCTTCTCCTCAGGGGGATTATTTTCAATCTCGGGTGTTGAGCAATGACTGCAGCTCATACTTGGAGGGGGCCTTCATGACAAACTTCAGGTGGTAGGGGAGAGCCTGATGGCCGAAGGGCACCCAAGGATCCCCTTCCTTGGACATTGTGGCCATCTGCTGCTAGGAGGGTGTGGGGGAGGTTTGCTACAGGATGTTGTTTTTTCTAAAACCCTCTTTTATGTATGAATTTGATTACTTAGCAGCACATTTCCAAGGCTAATTTCTGAGTATATTATGGCACTTCAGATTTGTCTTTCCAGAGGTTTTCTTCGTCCCGAATTTCATCTTCCGAGGCTCGTACAGATATTTTTTAGTACCTGCGAAATTCAGGCATTGCTTCCATCATAGATCCGGCCTTTTTTATACATTCAGTACATTCAATACATTCAGCGCTAGGGTGTTGAATGGTGTTTCAATACATTCAGCGCTAGGGTGTTGAATGGTGTTTCAATACAGCACTGGGTGGCAGTTTGTTGGCATTAAGGGTTCGATCTTGTTTTGAGTGATGTGATTGTTTCATTTGAATTACTTGGAGAGTTGTTTCGTGATTTTTGAGGCTTCAATTCCTGTGAACCTTGCAGTTGTCTGTAATGTTTCGCTGACTTTCAGGATGCTTTTCTTGTGGGATGGCAAAGTGTCACCTGCTTTCTGCACTTGTATGAGGAGTGCCAGATTCTGGCTCTGATCCCCAGTAGGCCAAACAGAACTCCCATGACTGATGTGACGTAGTAGATAAGAGCAATCTCGGTGTCATAGCTCCAGAGAGCAACCAGGGCTCAATCCAGAAAGAGACGTTTCATTGTATTCAGCACGGGGTTTACAAATGGGTTGTGAATGCTGCGAACCAGTTTAGAATAAATGGTCTTATTATAACCATTTTCAAGCATGACTCTCGGGATTTGACGGATAATGTAGGTTAAGCTAAATGTGGATGAACGAGCTGAAAATGAAGTTGTCGAATAATCCGAGAATCTGGATAATGGGGGGTTCCACATCACTAATAATAATCTGAAGAAATAACAATGTTCTAAGTTAAATAGATACCAAGTATAGTAGACAATGTTTACTTTAAATCATTGAATTAAACATATTTTTGCATATGGCTGCAATAATCATAATAAATTCAATTGTATTGTATTGATATTAATTTTGTTTTTTTCTCAAATTTTTATCCCTTACAAAACACTATTACCATAAACCTAATTAGTATTACCATATCCTAATTTGAGTATTTTCTTTACAAAAAAGTTTTAAATATAGTCAGGTAGTGCCACCAGTTTCAAGAAATTAATATGTACTAGTTGGTAAATATCTGTAGTTAATCATTAAGCAGTTCTTGTTTATGTATTTGAAGCTAAATAATTTGTTTTTCTTCCTAGAGAGATTCCCCTGAAGATTCTTGCTCATAACAACCTTATTGGCCGTATCATTGGGAAAGGAGGAACTACTATCAAGAAGATCATGGATGATACCAGTACCAAGATTACTGTATCCAGTATCAATGACATCAACAGCTTCAACTTAGAAAGAATCATAACTATAAAGGTGAAGATAAGTGCTTGTCTTATATTCTGCATTATGACGATTCTTTAATTTCAAAATTGGGTTCTTTGAAAAAGAATGACATAATTGTAAGATATCCTGCTGAAGCCTGCAGTCTTTAACAGCGCTGGAAGATGTAAAACAATAAGAACACTATATATTGCAAACTGAGGAACATAACATGATACATACACTTAGCTTAGTGAGAAGATGGTGGAGGTCAAAACCATATCCAGCTTCAAAGCATTATACGACAAAGAGTACCGGGAAGATGGGACACCACGAGAGTAGCTCTCATCCTGTAACTACACTTAGGTGATTACACCTAGGTAATTACACTATTATGTATGTGAAGATATGCTACACTAATTTTTGTGCCCAAATAAATATGCTGGTGAAAGTCAAATTGTGGATAGATATTATCACTGAATATGCACAAGAGGGATGCTGCTATAAAAGCATTTAACTATTGTTCTGGACACCATGCCTCAGTCATTATTTGCCATTTTAGTCAAATTGGGGATGAGCTTATGCATTCGGAATCAAATAATGTTGACTCGGACAAGCTATCACATGCACCCAAGCTCACATCACAGGAAGACATACGAAACACAGATGTAATCACCACGTACAACATTCTCCGGGAAACAGGTATGCCAGACACAGACAGGCTATTTACTATGGAGATACATGAAGAAAGTGACACAAGATGGAAATTTAAGTATTCCCAGGACCCACAAAGACATCTTAAATGAGGTTTTCATTGTCAGAGTAGTAAATAAAGGAGAGTGAAGTGTTGGAGGGCAGATTCTATACAGTTCCAAATGTAAATAGCAGATCCTAATAGGTGTCTTATTATCTTTACACTAGTTGAAATGTTGGCCATTTGTCAACATTGTGTATAGGGCAGCAGTGAGCCTGACCTGGCAGGAGACATGCATACATACCATGCATGCAGAGATGTAGAACTAGAAGACAGGATTGGTCCAACAGAGGTTGTGAGAGGGCCAGACACCAGAAGACACAAATATGGAATCGCTATAGGAAGAGGCCGAGCCGTCAAACATACAGCAGTACAAATAAGCAAGAAATGGCTACACAGTAGTAAGAGAGGCAGAAAGGAATTGCAGACAAAATGTTACAGAATCAGGCCTATTTTATAAATCCACTAAAAGCAAATTGCAGATAAAGGATAAAATTTAGAGGTTGAAAATGAGAAACATTTACAAAAGAATGAGAAGGAACTGTGTGAAACACTAAATGAACAGTTTCAGAGTGTATTTGTGCAAAATTAAATTTTCAGAGAACCAGCCAACAGAAATTCCAGAGAAGAACATAAGGCACATAGAAGTGTCTCGAGACAAAGGGGAAAAGATTCTCAAGGAGTTAGGTAGGAATAAAGCAGTTGGCCAGATGAAGTTTTACCTTGCTTCTGAAAGAATGCATATCTGAGCTCAGCATTTCACTTCAATTGATTTTCAGTCATCTCTGTGTTCAAGAGTCTTGGCAGATATATGGAAAAAGGCTAACATAGTTCCAATCTGTAAAAGTGACAGCAGGGAAGACCCTATTAATTATAGACCTGTATAGTTGACAAGTGTATTAGTCAAAATATTAGAGAAAACAAAATTAAAACCAAATGGGCAGAACAACTGGAGAGATATATGATATAATAACAGATGGACAGTATGATTTTCAACCAGGAAGATCCTGTGTAACAAATCTATTTTATTTCTATGATTGTCACAGATTTTTCAGAGAAGAGATGGTTCGGTTGACTGCATTTATCTGGACCTTGAAAAAAAGGCTTTTGGCAGAGTCCCCACATAAGAGGTTGTTCTAAAAACTGGAACATGCTGGAGGGGTGACAAGGAGGCTTCTAACATGAATAAAAAAAAATTCTGACAGAAAAATGATGGCAGTAATCAGAGGCAATGAATCAGACTGGAGAAATGTTACTAGTGGAGTACCACAGGGTTCATTTCTTCCACCTACATAAACTACATAAACATTAGACTAGATTGACTAAAAGGTCCACATAAATGATCTACAAGAAGGTATACAGAATTATATGAACATGTTGTTTGATGATGCTAACTTACTAGGGAGGATAAGAAACTTAGACGATTGTCATGCCCTTCAAGAAGACCTGGGGGCCAGATTCACGAAGCAGTTACGAACCTGTACATTTTTTCTCAATCTTTGGTGGCTTTGTTTACAATTATTAAACAGTTAATGAGCTCCGAAGTACCAGGAGGCTGTTTATAACAATAACAACAGTTGATTGGGAAGTTTTCATGCTTGTAAACTGTTTAATAAATATAACCAAAGCCGTCAAAGATTGATGAAAGATGTACACGTTCGTAAGTACTTGCATAACTGCTTCGTGAATCTGGCCCCAAATGCTTTGAAAAATCTGATAGAGCTCTAGGGATGGTTCTTGAACTATGAAACAGATGAGCTATGCCTTCTACTGAAACTCCTTTTCAGAAAATTTCTAGACCAAAGGATAGTTCCAAAGATTGGAAATATGGGAAAAAATAGTCTTCCCCTATTTTCAAAAAAGGCAGAAAGAGCTCAGCAGAAAACTACAATCTGATCAGCTTAACATCACACATCTGCTACTGCATGGAGAGAATCCTAAGGGATGGAATCATTCACCATCTCTTGGTGAACTATCTTGTAAAATCAATGCAATATGGGTTTGTTAAAAATAGATCCTGCCTTACAAACCTGCTCATGTTTTTGGAAGCGGTAACCAGCTACAGTACTTGGATAAAGGACTTTTGGTAGATGATGTATACATGGATTTTGTTAAAGCTTTTGATAAGGTACCACATGAGACTGGCAAGTAAATTACAGGCAATTGGAATAAATGGTAGAATTCTAGAATGGATAAAACAATGATTAAAACAAAGAAAATCCTGCTAAATGGGAAGAATTCTGACTGGAGACATGAGAGTGGGGTACCACAGGGGTTCCTTTTGGGGCCAATCCTTTTTGTCATGTACATCAATGACAGATGAGAATATTACAAACCACTTCATTAAATTTACAGATGACACAAAGATTTATGGTAAAGTGGAAAGTGAAAATTATCTTGAAGCCTCATAAAAAGATCTACATGAACTCCATAAATGGTCAGAAGACTGACAAATGTTTTTTAATACAGTATTAAAAAAGGCAAGACCATGCATGTGGGGCACAACAACCCACATCACAACTATTAAATTAATATTATCTTGCTGCAGATTGATGAAGGCCCTTGGAGTCAGGAGCCACCATTCACTGAAAGTTGCACAACAGGTGGGAGCAGCAGTAAAAAATAAAACGTTAACCAAACCATTGGTATAATCAAGCGTACCTTTGACTTTAAATTAAGGGGGGAAAAAAAGGTAGTGATTCAACTGTGTAAACCTCTGGTGCGCCCCTCACTTGGGATTATTGTATCCAAGTATGAAGAAATCGTCTTCAGAAAAATTGTTGCTTTGGAGAAAGTTCAACATCGGGCAGCAAACAGAACTTCTAGAACTAAGTCGACTCTCATACCAGGAATGGTTGAGGGCCACAGGACTAACAACACTGCAAACTAGGGATGACAGGGTAGATTTCATCGACTTTTAAAATACTAAACAGTTTGGAGGATGTTGATCCAGACAATTTCTTCAAAAGGTCAGATTTAACACATACAAGGAACAATTGTTTCAAGCTTGACAAACCACAATGTGGGGGCTGTAAAAAGGAAATACTTTTTCACCCACAAGCTTATAAATTCATGGAGCTGCCTACTGCCAAGGCCGTAAATGCCAAAACTCTGCTGAACTTTAAAATCCAGCTGGAAACATCGGGATAAATGGGAGGGATCTTTCACAAGTCGCCGGCTTCCTGCCTTCATTGAGGCCACTAATGTGTTAGTGGCCCTTGGGTAAATTCTGGTATTTCTGGTAAATACAGTACAGTATACACATGTACACAAACACACACACAATTTGTATTTTATTTAAGAATTTTGAATCTTCCTGTCATTACATATTTATCAATTCGCAAAGACTAGTAGTATTTATATTAAATTAAAAAGTTTGTGAGTAAATATTTCATTACTCTATTCACATACAGTTTGTTGGCTTTTTAATTCAAGTTTTATTGATGATTAATTCAAGCTTTATTTTATTCAAGATTTTTTTATTGATATTAAAGTTCCCTAACTTTATTGCAGGGTAACATTGAAGATATAGCTATGGCAGAGAATATGATAAGTGCCCGCTTAAGGACAAGCTACGAGAGCGACTTGCAGGCCTTCGCTCCACAGAGTGCCATGTTCCCAGGTTTACATCCAATGGCTATGATGTCAACGGTTGGGTTTGGTCTTCCGCGTGGTGGTAGTGGCAGTGCTGCTGGCATGGGCATGTATGGATCCTCGCCAACGTCATACCCACCGCTCTATCCAACACCTATACCTGGCCAACAGGGTTCACAAGGCTCCGAGGTGTGCGAGGTACTTTCTAAGCCCTCGTCTTTGTTTATAAAATTATGTTTCTAGAATTTCTAGAATGATGCTATTATTGTACAATAGAATTGCAGTGTAGCAGTCACAGCTGTTACACTGCCCTATCAGAATTGGCCACAGAACAATTAGAACCAACACACCTTGGGAGAAACCAAAGCAGCCCAGTAGAAATTAGTAGTATTAAAGCCATGTACACAAATGCAGATGGAATCACAAATAAATGGGCAGTTACAGGAAGCGGGGACAGTAGAGCGACCACAGATTATTGCAATAGCAAAACTGACTAGTGTCATAGGAAATGCAGTCTTCCCACAAGAGTATCAAGTAATAAGGAAAGATAGGGCAAAAAGAGGTGGTGGTGTAACCCTGCTACTACAACTACCTTGGAGCTTTCAGGTGATGAAATTGTCAGAGGACTCTGATCACCAAGAGCACATGCTAGGAATAACAACATTGAGGACTGATCACCAAGAGCACATGATAGGAATAACAACAATGAGGACTCTGATTGATCACCAAGAGTCCTTCAAGAGTCTGATTACCAAGAGTCTCAGGTGTGGGTGGCTCAGGCATTGCAGGCTAGGTATAGGTTGCTGAAACATGCTAGGTTGGTTGCTTCCCTGAATGCTCCGAGGCTGCCCCGCTTTGTTTATAGGGACCCGGACTTCAGGGTGTTGGTCACTTTGGCTTTGGTTCAGTCCACACCCTCTTGTTCTTTCCCTGCTGTGGTTCATTCTGCCCCCCCCCACTGCTACCGGCTCTGTAGCGTCTGAGGGCTTCGGGGTCAGAGCAGGGTTTCGAGGTTTCTGAGACTCTGGCAGTTTCGGGAGTTACCCCTTCCTGGGTGGCAACGGAGGCATTCGAGTCCATTCCTCCTGCCATATCGCTGGGGTCTGACCAGTGGGCAGTGGGCCCACTCTCTTCCTGCTATTTCAGCTGCCCCGGCTTTTTCTTGTGAGGCCGGGGCTTTGGAGGATGACTCGCCCCCAGGGCCTGTTGTGGAGGTTCCCGGGGTTGGGGAGGGGTTGACATGGAGGCCTAGGGCCCTGTTGGACCCGGCCTCAGTTTTCCAACCCTCTGGGCGGGGCTTTCAGTTACAAGGAATGGTTTTCTTTTTTCCCCCTCTGCGTACGAGTTAATTTGGGCGTCGGCCCCGCTTCAGGTTCGGTTCCGTGTCCCTTCGGGTTCGACGGCTCCGTCCTTCTGTGGGTACTTTTATTCACCTTCCCACCCTGCTTCTCTATGACCTGTGTTCTACATCATGCCGCAGTCATGTTCTGTTGTTATGGGACCTGCATGACCATTGGTCACAGATGCCATTGGGTCCATATGAGCCTCCGTGATTTGGTGCTTGATGATCTAGGATCTCGCAGGTTCGGGTAGATCTTCGATCCTTCAACATTATTGGAACATCTGTCGCCTTCTGGTGCGGCTTATCTCCAGTCCTTTCTAGGACTCGTTGGTCCTCTTCCGTACTACTTATCTTTCGATGCTATTTCCGATTATTTAATAATCACCTCTTTCCGTACTTTGTCTCGACATTACTGATAATCCTTACATATCCCTTGTTGACACCCTCCTCGAAAGTCAAGTGGTGCAGCCCGGACCTCATGTGTCCAGCGCATGCGCCGTGGGTGATCGTTTTGTTTATGGTCGGTGTCCTCATGTTGGTGTTTTGTGACCTTTATCACGGGTGGTATGCCTCTCTTACTCATCTTCTCTCTCCAGTCATAACCCCCTCGATACTGGGGGAGTTCTAGATTTTATATATATGGGGAACTCGCCTAGTTCTTTTTCTGCATACGGGTGTGGGGTGGCTCAGGGTGGCACCGCCTCCACCTCTACACTACACCTACTCTTCTCCTTCTGTACATACATCTCTGGACATGCTCCACTTGCGAGGCTCCCGGAATGTTACACAGCTAAGCTGTGGCGTGACATGATAGTGCCTATGCTCTACAGGTGAGATTATACGATCTGGTGACACTGTCAGCCAGGCACTGGTTTTCTCTTTTTGGAATTAGTGTTGCTTGGCCTCTCTGCGTGCATCTTAACGTGACCTTAACCTGTATGTATATGTTGTTCTTCATTACACCGTGGGGTGCAGCCCTGGATTTTGGTAACTTTAGGTTTCGTCTTTCAGCGACTGGATCTTTTCTGGGCTCTGGACACTCATTCCTTGACTGTCGTTCAGTGCCTGGCTGCACCCTTATATACACGTTACATATACATATACATGTGTACACCTTCTCGCCGTCCTCCAATAGGTTGGAAGGGATGTTACCTGTGATTAGGGAATGTACTTTGGTGCTAAAGTGAGGTTGACTTCTCTCATTAACACATGAGTTTGGGGGTGAGTGTATTGTTTACCCCTTGCTACAAGTCTGTGTATATGGTTATTCATGTTCATTCTGTTGCCAATTGCTTCCTGGATCTTCTTAATTTTTCATATTGCTTATGCTCTTGTCCCTAGCTTCCAGTGCTGGGACCATATTTAAGGTCTTTTCATTGCATTTTAGTGTATTACTACCTCTATACTACACATTGTTGTGTATCTTGGTAGATGCATATTGGCTATTCTCATGCTCGTGCTAGGTTGGGCTGTGTTCATGTTCAGTTCTTTGTTGTTGAACAGGCCCAGTGTTCCATTATGGGTCTGAGTTCTTCATCTTCTCCTTGTCTGTCACTACCAGTTTCTGTGTTGCAGTATCTGCTGGTGGATGTAGTTTTCCCGATCACCCACTCCTGCCCCTACAGTTTCTTTTCGTTTGGGACAGGAGGAGCTAGGATTTTGGCCCTGGTTACGCCCTTTTCTTTGTGTTCCTTTTTTGGACAGTACATTTTTGTTTTAGTGCAGTGCATGTTCTCCGTAATTCTCCTCATTCCTTCCTCTGTGATGTGTGCGTTGTTCTGCCCTGCTGGGGCTGGTGGTGCTGCTCCTGCGTGTTTTGGGGTCACTTTTTTGCTTCGTGTTTTGGCACGTGGTGCTCACTTACTTGTTGGCCTCAGCCTGGGCCCTGGATCTTAGGTTTTCGTTGTCATTTTGTCCTTGCTGTTTGCGGAGTCTGCGATTCGGCAGTTTCTGCAAGCGGCTTTTTCTCATCTTTCGCTATCGGACTTATTGTTCCTTCGGGGGTTCCTAGGGGGTGTGCCTCCCGGACGGGATGTGTCTGCTTGCCCGGGTTGGTTCTTTCCCGGCTCGGCAGGTCTGGGTTCCTGGTTCCCTGGCGGACATTACTTTTGGTTCCTTGACAGCCTTGGTTCAGGCGTTGCTTGCTTGATGTCCGCACACAGGGGTTTTCCCATGGCTCCGCCTCTTTTCAACGATCGGTCCGCTCCGTGATGGGGCTGGTTTGGTCTTCTCCTCGGGTCTTCAAGTCTGGTGATTTTGACTTGCGTCTCTCGCCATCTATTAGGTGATCAGGTGGCTTTTTGATGGTGTCCCACCTGCGTGCTTCATCTTGGTGGCGGTATGGGGTTTTCCAGCGGTCCTTCCTTTTCTTTTACTCTTCGTAGGTATACTGCATTTTTTGTTGACATGGTCTTGTCCTTTTCTCGTGGAGGTTTAGGACCGTCATTTTGCCGCATACTGTCGCCTTGTTTCATGTGGCACTGGCGGAGCCTCTTCGGATTGCTCTGGTTTTGTTGTTCCTTCTGCACCATTCGTGGGCTGTCTCAGGCATTGTTCACCTGCTCATGCCCCACCTGTGCCATCCTGCTCTTAGACAGGGTGCTCTTTCCTCTTTCTCACTTGGCTTGTTGTGGCCCCTTCGGTTCAGGTTTGTTTGTTGGTGGTTTCTACTTCTTTGGGTTCTGGTGATCAGTTTGTTCATTTGCCTCTGTCTTTTCCTTTCTGGTGGGGTTGGGACGGCTGTTTTCCGGAGGGATCCCTGGGGTTGTTGCTGCTTGGTTGGTTATACGGGGGTGCATCTTCTTGTGTCCGGTTGCGCCTCTCCACTGTTATTTGTGCACCACGGCCTCTGTGGCCGGGGACGCGCTTTGGGTTGATCCGGTTTCCCTTCTTCCCTGTTCTCGGGTTCGGGTCTCTCCGGTCGCCCGCAGGGTCTTTTGGTCTAGCCAGCCTGCGGTCTATCCCCGTGCCCATGACGTTCGTAAGTTTGCTGCCCTTGCTGCCGTCTTTGGCACCATATCTTGGGTTAACTTTCAGGCATGGGGTTTTTGGCGGTCGAACAGGGTCCTGGCTGCACCTATCTCATGAATATTCCTGGGCCTAGTTGGGACCCGAGTCGCTTTGGGTCGGCGGTTGCAGCCTGTCTAGACTTCGTGTTGGGATGTGAGCACCAAGTGCCTCCCAGATACGTCCCTCTGTTTTCTTCTTTGGTGAAGTAGCTCCGGAGAGCCGTTGGGGCATACCTCCAGAAAACCGGCGTTGAATGTAATTAAACGCTGGGCGAGTCCAGGGTTTCCAGGGAGGAAACGCCATTTTCTGGGTGAGTCCCAGAGGCTCCTGGAAACCCTCCCTCCCTCCTTCCCTCCGGTCGGTGGTTTTCGTGTACTGTATTTGGATATCCAGCCTTAAAACTGGGGTGTGGATCGCCGGCGCAGGAGTCTGGGGCTCCCCCTTCCCCCTCCCGGGGAGGGGGGAGCTGCGCAGACATGCGGCGCAGCTCGTGTGACGTCATGCTCGTTTGCTCGTTTTCATTTAGGGAGTTCTGTCCACTCGCCCGGACAACATCAACGTCTTCGTCAACATTGGCCAAAGTTAAGGATATCCATATCAGCCTGGATAACACCGGGGAGCGTCCGGGACTCACCCAGAAAATGGCGTTTCCTTACATTCAATGCTGGTTTTATGGTAGTAAGTAAAGAATACGCTTCTACAGATTATGAAATGTTTCTATTTATTCCTTGGTAATTTAAATAAATTTTGTTTTTCAATTTCCTCTTAGAAACTCTTAGTTGATGTTCACTTTCAGGAAGTTGCGTTCCTCTACATCCCCAACTCGGCAGTTGGTGCCATCATTGGCACAAAGGGATCACACATACGCAACATAATTCGGTTTAGTGGAGCATCTGTGAAGATAGCACCTTTAGAAGAAGAAGGACGACCCGCAGAACAAACTGAAAGAAAAGTTACCATTGTAGGAACTCCAGAAGCTCAGTGGAAAGTATGTGTAATTGTGTAGTATATTTTTATACATTATGTAGATTTTAGGTTGCATGGAGCAGTGTCTTGACAATGATAGAGTGAAACATCAAGAATAATTAACCTTTATTAGTTGATGATTGTTGACCTGATAGTGTGTTATCTTATGTAATGTTACAGAGAACACTTGATTATCAATGAGGGAATGGTGAGGTCAGTGGGGTGAAGGTGGCATGAGGTTAGTGAGGTGTAAGTGGTGTTGAGGTCAGTGGGGGTGAAGGTGGCATGAGGTTAGTGAGGTGTAAGTGGTGTTGAGGTCAGTGGGGTGAAGGTGGCATGAGGTTAGTGAGGTGTAAGTGGTGTTGAGGTCAGTGGGGGTGAAGGTGATGTGAAGGATAGGTGGATTGTTTCATTTCTAGATTGCCAAAAAACCTTTGAATAAAGATCAAGGTGTGCAGACACATGTTGGTAAATGGCTTTGGCAAACTGGATAACAAGAGCAGCTAAGAGAGGTTAGAGGAGTTGAATAATTTTGTTTCTTGTGACGTACGGTGCTCCTGTTTCTTTTTCAATCTGAAAATCAGTTCATGGTATAAATCTTGTTAGTCATATTAGGTTGTTGTTTGTTATTAATTGCTGTTACAAATCTGCTTTCAGGCACAGTTCTTGATCTTTGAGAAGATACGCGAAGAAGGTTATGGTGTTGGAGTTGAGGATGTGCGGTTAACTGTTGAGATTGTTGTACCATCTTCACAGGTAAGTTAAAGGTGTTTCATGATGGGTTTATCATTGCCAGTTTTATGTGGGGGGGGGGATATTTCCACACACACATACACACACACCATGCTCATGAGAGCTCACCATTGATATTAATACTGTATTGCCAAATTAACTAAGTGAACCTCATAACTAAATTAAAAGCATCTAAGCAATTGTTTTGGAGACAGGTTTAATGACCTTACCATTAAAAACTGTTTCTTAATATTTAGTGTTTCAATGATGGGTCATCTATATTTCAATAGTAAACATTCTAATGATATCAGAATGAATCATCTGATGTCAGAATTCCCGAAAATCATATTCTTAAGTATTCTATGTGTACTTTTGTAACAAAACTCTTGAAATACATGAGCACAGTTTGGGCAGCACTTATTAGGGAGAGGGATGGTTGCCCAGAGGTCATCTTGTCCAACCATCCATCACTCAACATGATAATTGCTCTGCCGGTGCAAATTTTGTCTTTGTTTTCAAATTATCTGGTGGAAAAGTATGAAATTTAAGGTCATGTGTGACATGTGTGTAGACTGGTGTATAGATGTGTGTGTGTACTCACCTATTTGTGCTTGCGGGGGTTGAGCTCTGGCTCTTTGGTCCCGCCTCTCAACTGTCAGTCAGCTGATGTACAGGTTCCTGAGCCTATTGGGCTCTATCATATCTACACTTGAAACCATGTATGGAGTCAGCTTCCACCACATCACTTCCTAATGCATTCCATTTGTCAACTACTCTGACACTAAAAAAGTTCTTTCTAATATCTCTGTGGCTCATTTGGGCACTTTGTTTCCACCTGTGTCCCCTAGTGATGGTGCCCCTTATGTTAAATAGCCTGTCTTTATCTACCCTATCAATTCCCTTGAGAATCTTTTAATGTGGTGATCATGTCTCCCCCTAACTCTTCTTTCTTCCAGCAAAGTGAGGTTTAATTCCCGTAGTCTCTCCTCGTAGCTCATACCTCTCAGCTCAGGTACTAGTCTGGTGGCAAACCTTTGAACCTTTTCCAGTTTAGTCTTATGCTTGACTAGATATGGACTCCATGCTGGGGCTGCATACTCCAGGATTGGCCTGACATATGTGTTATACAAAGTTCTGAATGATTCCTTACACAAGTTTCTGAATGCCATTCTTATGTTGGCCAGCCTGGCATATGCTGCTGATGTTATCCTCTTGATATGGACTGCAGGGGACATGTCTGGCGTGATATCAACCCCAAAGTCTTTTTCTCTCTCTGACTCTTGAAGAATTTCATCTCCCAGATGATACCTTGTATCTGGCCTCCTGCTCCCTACACCTATCTTCATTACATTACATTTGCTTGGTTTAAACTCTAACAACCATTTGTTCGACCATTCCATCAGCTTGTATAGGTCTTCTTGAAGCCTCAAGCAGTCCTTCTCTGTCTTAATCCTTCTCATAATTTTAGCATCGTCAGCACACATTGAGAGAAATGAATCTGTACCCTCCGGGAGATCATTTACATATATCAGAAACAAGATAGGACCGAGTACAGAGCCCTGTGGGACTCCATTGGTGACTTCACGCCAATCGGAGGTCTCACCCCTCACCGTAACTCTCTGCTTCCTATTGCTTAGGTACTCCCTTATCCTTATCCACTGGAGCACCTTACCAGCTACACCTGCCTGTCTCTCCAGCTTATGTACCGGCCTCTTATGAGGTACTGTGTCAAAGGCTTTCCAACAATCCAAGAAAATGCAGTCTACCCAGCCTTCTCTTTCTTGTTTAATCTTTGTCACCTGGTCGTAGAATTCTATTAAGCCAATCAGGCAAGATTTACCCTCCCTGAACCCATGTTGGTGATTTGTCATGAAGTCCCTTCTCTCCAGATGTGTTACTAGGTTTTTTCTCACGATCTTCTCCATCACCTTGCATGGTATACAAGTCAAGGACACTGGCCTGTAGTTCAGTGCCTCTTGTCTGTCGCCCTTTTTGTATATTGGGACCACACTAGCCGTCTTCCATATTTCTGGTAGGTCTCCCGTCTCCAGTGACCTACTATACACTATGGAGAGTGGCAAGCAAAGTGCCTCTGCACACTCTTTCAGTACCCATGGCAAGATTCCGTGTGGACCAACAGCCTTTCTAACATCCTGATCCAGTAGGAGTTTCTTGGCCACCTCTCTCGTAATTTCGAACCCTTCCAAGGCCGCCTGGTTCACTTCCCTTTCTCCTAGCCAGTGACCTCACCTTACCTGACCTGACAGGCATGCATGCATGCATGCATATGAGGAGTTTTCTTCTTTGGTTAGAATCCCTGTTATGGTAGGCTCATATAACAGGTGGGTTGCCTTCACTGGTGGATCACTATTATGGTAGGCTCATATAACAGGTGGGTTGACTTCACTGGTGGATCACTATTATGGTAGGCTCATATAACAGGTGGGTTGACTTCTCTGGTGGGATGAAAAGGTATCATATTCTCAGGGCTTCTAGCACTTGGTAAGTTGGGTGAGAGCCAAATAGGCCCAATGTGAAAGGTTTCACATTTCCACTGTGAAATCAGTGTTAAAAGGTAGTACAGTAAAAATAGTTTTACAAGGACGACAAAGCGCAAAATTGAATGCAGCATTAGAATTAGACAAAATTAGACAAAAAAGGCAAAGAAAAGAGAATGAGACTGGCATGCCATTTACCGTTTATTAATTTGTAAATAGCAATACAATATTCATGAATATGAACAAAAGGTTCATGAAATAAGATGAAAGAACAATAGAGTAGTGGAAATTAAAAAGGACGAAGCCAGACTGAAGAATTATAGACCATTTGCACTAATTTTCCACATAATAAATGTATTTGAGAGAGTGATCAGGAGTCAGATCACCAGTTTCATGGAGACCAATGACTTTTACAATCCAGACCAACATGGATTTAGAACAGGAAGATCATGCCTCTCACAGCTACTTGACAACTACAACAAAATCACTGAGGCATTAGAGAAAGAACAAATGTAGATGTTGTGCAAACGGACTTCGTAAAGGCATTTGATAAATGAGACCATTGAATGATATCACACCAAATGAAGTCAATGGGAATAACAGGTTAAGTAGGATGGTGGATATTAAATTCTTTGTTGAACAGAACACAAAGAGTAACAGTCAATCAAATAAAATTGAGTTAAAGCGCAGTTAAAAGCTCTGTACCTCAGGGTATAGTCCTTGCACCGCTGCTTTTTCTTATTCTCATATCAGATATAGACAAAAATACAAGTCACAGCTACGTATCATCCTTTGCAGATGACACAAAAATCAGTATGAAAATTACCTCGGCTGAAGACATTAAAAAACTTCAAGCAGATATTAATAAAGTTTTTGACTGGGCAACAGAAAATAACATGATGTTTAACAGTGATAAATTCCAGGTACTCAGGTATCGTAAAAATGAGGACCTTAATACATAATACAAAACGCACTCAAATGTGCCCATAGTAGGAAAATAGCATGTGAAGGATTTGGGAATAATGATGTCTGACGACCTAACGTTTAGGGAACATAACCAAGCAAATATTGCATCAGCCAGGAAAATGATAGGATGGATTACGAGAACTTTCAAATCCAGGGATCCCATCACAATGGTTGTACTATTCAAATCACTTATGCTGTTTCATCTTAAGTACTGCTCAGTACTCACTTTCTCCTTCAGAGCAGGAGAGATTGCTGAAATAGAGGGAATACAGAGAACATATACAGCACGCATAGACACTATATAAAGCACCTAAATTATTGGGATCGTCTCAAAGCTTTCCAAATGTACTCTCTAGGACGGAGACGAGAGAGATATCATATAATATACAGATTGAAAAACTGGAGGGCCAGGCCCCAAATCTACACAGTAAAATAACAACATACTGGAGTGAACGATATGGAAGAAAATGCAGAATAGAACCAGTGAAGAGCAGGGGTGCCATAGGCACAATCAGAGAACACTGTATAAACATCAGAGGTCCACGGTTGTTCAACACCCTCCCAGCGAGCATAAGAAATATTGCCGGAACAACCATGGACATCTTCAAGAGGAAACTAGATTGTTTCCTCCAAGGAGTGCCGGACCAACCGGGCTGTGGTGGATATGTGGGCCTGCGGGCAGCTCCAAGCAAAAGCCTGGTGGACCAGGCTCTCTGAAGTCAAGCCTGGCGTCGGGCTAGGCTTGGGGAGTAGAAGAACTCCCAGAACCCCATCAACCAGGTATCAACCAGGTAGAGGGAATACAGAGAACATATACAGCGTACATAGTCACGATAAAGCACCTAAATTATTGGGATCGTTTCAAAGCTCTCCAAAGCACTCAATAGAAAGGAGATGAGAGAGGTATCAAATAATATACACATGGAAAATACTGGAGGGCCAGGTACCAAATCTACACAGTAAAATAACAACATACTCGAGTGAATGATATGGAAGAAAAGTCAGAATAGAACCAGTGAAGAGCAGAGGTGCCATAGGCACAATCGGAGTACACTGTATAAACATCAGAGGTCTGCGGTTGTTCAACATCCTCCCAGCGAGTATTAAGAAATATTGTTGGAACAAACGTGGTCATCTTCTAGAGAAAACTAGATAGTTTTCTTTAGGGAGTGCCAGACCAACCGGGCTGTGGTGGGTATGTGGGCCTGCAGGCCACTCCAAGCAAAAGCCTGGTGGACCAGGCTCTCTGAAGTCAAACCTGGCCTAGGACCAGGCTTGACCAGACCTTCCAGAACCCCATCCTAGTACAATCTAGGAAGCAAACATAGTGTCAACATAGCAAAATTGATCCTGCAAAAATGAATTTGTTAAGAGTGGAACTCAGAGGAGATGTTAGTAGGTAGGAAAAATGGAAGGGGAAGAAATGACGAAACATGAACTAAAATGGAAAAATAAGGAGGTAATTGGATTAAAGACAGATGGGAAAGTTCTCAGCAATTATTTGTGAGCAAGGAAGAACTAAATGATAATATGAGCAGGGATGTGGGAAGAGTTATACAGAAGCAGTAAAACGAGTGAGTTTTGAAGGTTGCTAGAGTGAGCAGGTTGTAAATGGTTTTGGAGTTCTGTACATGGGAACATAGATTGGTGGACAAAAAGGTATTATAATTTATGGGGTATTAAAACCAAAGGGTTCTAATACTGTTATTTGCATGACGCAAATAGAGTAGGTAGAGTCTTTGAATACAGTTGGAGAATATGTTGAAAACTACTTGAGATTGGTCGATTATAGACGAGGCTTTATCTGTCTGGTAAGACTATAAATGACGTCGTACCTCTCTGACCTTATGGACCACATTGGCAAGTACAAGATTATTGACTGGAAAAGTGAATAAATGCAGACTTGTATATGATCAAAGATAAAACACACACAAAATGAAATGAGAGAAGAATGAATGATGTTTATAGCCACTCTTCCCTACAGCTAGACAAATCTTATAACAACAAATTGTGAAGGAAAACTGAGAAAAGGCATTAAATTCAAAGCCAATATTCTGACAGCTGATCCCTGCAGAATGCACGAGAAAATGATTATGCATGGATTTGTGGAACATCTAGAGAAAATCAAATTCACAACTATCTAGTTGCACTGGTTCAGTGATGGAAAATGCTCCTTAACCAAACTAAATCTAATTCTTTTGAACAAGAGTTCAACCCAGTACATATAAATGCCAGACTGAGAATAAAGAAGGGAGAAAGATTGCTAGATTGAGCACCACACCAAGTACCCTACTTGAAGTGTGCATAAACATCATCAGCTCGTTTCAAGTTGGAACTTAAATAATAGAATCCTCCAAGACACAATATATAGCATATGTATGTATTATCAGAACAGATATCAGAACAAACTGGACCGTTCGTGGAGTACTGTTCTTATGTAGCACCGGCATGGAACCCACATCTTGATAATTGTCAGATTTCTTTGTTATTGCAATGTTTGGTTGCATTTTTATGACCCTTTCTTGTAGCTCTACCCCCTATCTCAATGTTTATAATTCCACATGCATTCATGAACATAAATTAACTGGTAAATTGTATTATGTCTGGAGCATCAGGGGGGGAAATAGAGAGCTATATCAGAGGTTGTAGCAGCATGTGATTGAAATGTGGTACAAAACTGAATAATTGTTGTGATGTGACATTTGTTATTCTTATGGCTAGAACTGTTAATTCAGATCATTATTTACATCTGATGCTGTAAGAACATAGCATTATTTAACCCCCACAGGTAGTTGTGTGATATCACGTACATGAGGTCTATAAGATATTTGTAGTTTGTGCTTTTAAACATGATCCTGCACAGGTCATCCGATTTTCTGTAATTTGTAACCTAATAATGGTTATCACAATGAGAAGGACCAGTTTGATTGTTGTCATGGTATTGTGTATGCTTAGTTTTCCTGTTGTGTCATTTGTATTTGCCTAATAGTTGTTTGTTTTTTATCATAAAGGTTGGACGCATAATTGGTAAAGGAGGTCAGAATGTACGTGATCTTCAGCGTCAAACTGGTTCAGTAATCAAGCTTCCCCAACAAGGATCCACTACTTCAGAAGAAACTACCGTCCACATCGTAGGCCCTTTCTTTTCTGTACAGGTCAGTATTGGACTTACTCTTTACTTACTCTATTGGACTTTAGTTTATAACGCGCACGATAGTCCTCGGATTACATTAAGGAGAAAAACTTATGATGATGATAATAGGAGGGCTCGGAGCATGATAGTGTTAATGAATATAAGTTCCAGCTCTTGTGTTATGGAAAAAGTGAAAATATGAAAGCAGAAACCATGTACAAAACACGAGAGAGATGGCTGGTGGTGGTATACTATGGTCAGGCTGGACAGACGACTTGGTGGGGCCTTCAGCAGCCAGAGGGACACTAACTCTCCCTACCAACTGTTTGACCACAGGCCAGGCATGACTGTATCATGTTACACTCCAGACCTTGGGCACCATCTTACCTATACACAACACGTACAACAATGCCCACCTATCAATACTTGATTTCCTTGGTGGTGGAATGGCGGTTAGTACTGTACTTGAATTTCACTTTCCTTAAAATGACTAAATCATAACATAGAACCAAAAAGCAATTTAAAGGATTTGGGTGTACTCATGTCGTAAGACCTTACCTCTAAACAACACAATAAAGTAGCCGTCACAACTGCAAGAAAATGACAGGTTGGATAATAAGAACCTTTCACACTAGAGATGCTATTCCGTCGTGATACTTTTCAAGATGCTAGTGCTCTCTAGAGTTGAATACAGCTTCACAATGACAGCCCCTTTCAAAGCTGGAGAAATTGCTGATCTGAAGAGTGTGGAGAGATACTGCTAGAATCCACTCAGTAAAACATCTAAACTATTGGGACCGACTAAAATGCCTAAAGCTGTATTCTCTTGAGCGCAGGTAGGAAAGATACATAATAATTTACATGTGGAAAATGGTAGAAGGGCTAATCCCAAACCTGCACACAGAAATAACACCTCATGAGACCAGAAGGCATGGCAGGATGTGCAGAATACCCCTGTTGAAAAGCAGAGGTGCAATAGGTACTCTGAGAGAGAACTCTATCAACATCAGAGGCCCAAAACTGTTCAACACGCTTCCATTACACATAAGGGGCATAACTGGCTGACCCCTCACAGTGTTTAAGAGATAACTTGACAAACACCTCCAAAGGATACCTATCAACCAGGCTGTGACTTATACGTCAGGCTGGAAGCAGCTGCGTCCAACAGCCTGGTCGATCAGTCCAGCAACCAGGAGACCTGGTCGATGACCGGGCCGTGGGGACACTAAGCCCCAAAAACACCTTAAGGTAATCTCGAGGTGGTAGGAGAAAAACAAAGAAACTGTATTGGAGAGGACCTAAACATTCCCTCTAATGCATTATGTGTTCTTTCCTCTGAGGCTAATGGTCCCCCTCTTCCAGCCAGAGGTGGCACTCCCATATTTAAAAAATATATGAATTATATAAAATTATATATTTACCAGTACATAAAAGATCCTGATAGGAATAGACAAAGTGAACAAAGGTAGCCTGTTTAAATTAATAATAAGAGATAAGTCAAAGGGACACCAGTGGATGCTAGAAGTCAAGTCAGAGAGATGTATGGAAATTCTCACAAGTGGTGTCCAGGAAAAGGTTGTTGATGCCATTTCCATCTATAGCATTAAAAAAATATGATGCTAATACTGAGAGAGGTAATTAGGGCACAAGGCATAAGTGCGTAGGAAGCAGGGCATAAAGAGCTAGATCTAACTCTCATGTAGTCACTGATAAATAAGCACACAGTCTTCATGCAGGTATTTGTTCTACTTGGCTTCTTACACCATGGATCCCATTTTGTTTATCATACACCAATTTCTCAAATATAGTGTACTACTATTACGGGCTATTCATGCCCGTGCCACCTCTGGTGTGTGGCTTAATCTTTATCAATCAATCAGTGTAATCTTCAAAATTGCTATCATGTTTTACACTTAGACTAATGCCTCAATAATTCTTACACTTAATACATTCCTCTTTATTTTTATTCAATAACACAATGATAGTTGTTATTTCCATTATTTATGTGCAGTGTAATACTGTCTAGCAAATAACCAATACCTATTATATTCCTCTTCCTCCATTTTCATTTAATAATTTCTGCCTATACCTCATCCACTGGTACACTTTTCCCTTTGGCATTGTATCTTGCACTTTCCTTAAAATGACACAACCAAATTTACACATTGTTCATCAGCTCCTCCCATCAAATTTTCACATCTACAATTTCCACTTCACTAGTAAACATTACCCCATTTTTATCTTCAATGTTCCTATTTACAATACTTGTATTCTCGTGAGAGGTCAGGTAAAAAATTGTGAGCATTACTGAGTTTTCCAAAAATTGTAGAGAACACAACACTACACAGTTTATTAAATTTAACATTAACATATTCCTTTCTCTATGAAATATTGATAATGTTCATTGGCCCTGATGTACATTTTATATTAACTATTTGCTCTTTCTCATTCACAGTCAGCCCAACGTCGTATCAGAGCAATTATCCAGATGTCATCAACCCCTAGCAGTGGGCGTATTACCCGCGTACCAATGACACCACGGATGCAGTGAGGTCATAGAGATGACATCGTAAACAAGTCCTGCCCACATGCCAGCGTCACGCCCCAAGCAACATACCAAAGAGACGGAGATGTTGGAGCTTAGGATTGACTGTGTGTGTCGGCGGCTTTCCTCACTTGACCTCGCTTGCTTGCTTGTTTTGCCTCTGGAGCCCAGGCTGGTTGACCTGAGCTTGAAACACATCACAGATCTCAGGGGGATTGTCTGAAGTAGATTATTTGCATTATAGCTGTTGGATTGATTTGTGTTCATGTACTGTACATGTAGGGTCTTATTTTGTTCATTATAGAATGTGATTTTGTTTACAGCAGATATGAAATGCTTCTAGTGATTGCCTTTCAAGAGACATTCAGGTAATACCTTTGTCGTTATATAATGAGTGTGATGTGCACTTGCACTGGTTGTCACCCATCCTGGGCCCCAGACACGAGTTGTGACAAAGGTGCATCAAGTAACAGAGAGCATTGTGTTGTGTAGTACCCAGGCCACTTGGGCACATTTGTGTGCATGTAGGCATGTGTGTGCATACGGTAAATGCACCTGAGGCTCCTGTGTTGAGTTCTGACCCCCTGTGTACACTTGTTGGCTGCACCAGTCAATTTCGCGGCCAACAAAGACGAGTCATTGGACACTAACATAGCCTCTTGGCTTGTGTTGAAGTGGTGTTGTCTCCTCGTCTAGCTAGTGTGGGCACTGTTGATATCAGGGCTCCGCTGTTTAGTTAACTAGTACAAAAGTTTGTGGAATATAATGGACCATTGTTATAATATGGTCTTTTTTTGTACGCAAAGTTATAGCAAAGTTTATTTTTGATACATTGTTGGAGCAATTTTTTGTTAAATTTTTTTTAAAGAAGGAAAATATAATGTAGCATGGAAAATGCTATATAAAAAAAAAGCCTTGTCAGCACTCTCCACAAACCACCTCTCTCTTCAGGTCAGTAGATCCTGGACTGACTCATTTGGGGACTTGACGTGTGTTCAAGTCGCAACATTCTCCACTACTCCATAAAGGTTGACACCGTACCACAGTTCGACAAGGAAGTTAAATAAACTATTACAGGGGATCAAAATTCCAAACTCACAAAACAAAACAATGTATGCAAAACAGGAAATGATGTATACTCTATAAAATGCCCACTGATTTTGTAGTACCATGAACATTGAAATACTTCACTCAGGTGACTCTTTAGAAGCTGATTGGTGCAGCACAGGCATGCCATGTGCTGCACCCATGACTGTGGGGTGGCGGCCCGGGGCGCACCCCACCTCCACCCCACCTGTGCTACCTCACTCCTACGCCAACCTTCAACCCCTAGCATCTAAGTAATTCCTCATTCATCTTTAATGCCACAATTCCTTCTACTGTTTGTGTTGTGTAAAGTTTTTTTTTTAATGTTGATAAAGCACCAAGAGATACTAATCAATTCTGCATTGTACTAAGGGGAATGGTTGCAATGTTTGCCTTTATAAGGTATGAGATATGATCAGAACAAGAATTATTTGATTATTATATGAATTCATATTGATTTGGATCACTGTTCTGTTAAATACTAAAGATATGATGAATTTTATGCAGAATAATTATTTCCAGATGATGTGATCATGTTGCATACCCATTATGTGTGGTAGACTCTTAGGTGTTTGCATGAGTGTTATTGGCTATAGCTGTATCTAATTTTCAGTTAATCATTGAGGACTTGCTTGGATGCTATGGGGCTGAGACCTACTGCTGATTGCCCCATTAAAGATATTGGAAGTATTAAGGATGCAGTTAAAGGAAACTTGCATATGTGAAAAACTGGCTAAATTGTGACTATTGGTACGGCAGCATTCTTACCGACTGTACGAATGTTTGCTACATCACGCTGTTTACACTTCCTGGTTACTGTTCAGTGACCAGTTAGCCTAAGAGGGAGTTACACCTGATGGTGTACAATATCCCGCAGCAGTCATTAGAAATACTGGGTTGACAGAACCACAAGTGAACATGTCTTAAGTTGCCTGCACTGTGCCCTTTCCCTTCCGTGCCTTCAGTGTTGGGCAGTAAGAAGGCCAGAATTCTAAAACTTAACTTGAAATCAGCTAAAGTTTATTACATAGATTGGCTTTGAAATGTGATTGGCTGTGTTAATTGTAAATGTTGTTAGAACAAATTATTGGTTTACTACTATCCTCTCCAATACTGGTTTTAAGTTAGGTTTGAAGATGCTGGCCAAAGCCTCGGCAGATTAATGTTGGTTGTAGGTGCGTTCCATGTAGACGCTCTGTTTGATTATGGTTATGAAAAAATTCTATTCTGCCTGTATTCCCAATAGACTGTATGATATGATTGGTGATTATGATATTTAAATATTGCATCAGTAAGAATCAATTACTTATTGCAACAGAAATTTGAAGTCATTTTGAAGTACTGTACTACCATACTGTATATTTCATTCAAAATCGCCAATGGTACCACATTTGTCGTCTGATTATGAACAGCACTTGGTTTTGCGCTAGTGTATGTAACAGTTTCCTCGCTGGAGAACCTTTCAGATGACACATTTTGAGCCCCTTTGCCTGAATGCTAGTAGAAAAATATGGCAAGATATAAAAGTCTTATACCAACCTGGTAATCTGGAAATTATAATCGCACAATCACTTTCACACTTAGTCATATTTTAAACTTTCCTGTACAACCAAATTGACATATTTTGTTTGTTCTGCAAGTATTAAGGTAAACGGCTCTTTTCATAGTACTCTTCAAGTTTGTTTAGCTGTTATATTTAGATTATGTATGAGGACTTCTTACCCGCCATGGTTCACTTCTTGGAATTAGTTACGCAGCACTTAAACACTTGTGGGTGGAAAGAAATATGATTAAAATATTTCATCTGAAGGATAAGAATCTTGCTTCATATTAATTAATATTTGGTTGAGTGCTCAGTGCTTACTTGCTTTTCCACATAGTACACCAATTTATTATTACTATGTTTTATTTTTTCCAAACAAATTTCTTTTGTTGTCTTTCCTTTTCAGTCTTATTACATTTTATATAATTATTTGTTCACCTTCATGCCTTTTCTTCTTTGTCTTTCTTATATTATATTTATTTTGTTGACTCTTGAATATAAGGAAAAAAGGACAAAAGCCTTTTTTCTCCCGTTTTCTTTCCACTCGCTGGCGTAGGAAGGTATTGCCATTGCAGCCGTAACATGCATCAGGCTCTGCCCAGCATACATAGAGCTGCTTTTGCGATGTCTCCTACTGTGGGTGGCATTCACAAGTGGCGTGGGTGCAGGTATGACTTGGGTTCCTGTAATATAATGAGAGCTATGTTTGTCCTTGCTATACCTCTGCCCCGCCAATCGTGTCAATGCCATGGTAAGGGTTCCATTGTTCCAAGGTATCCTCAACTGGCCCATAATGTTATCAACAATATTTAACTCCTATTTGGTTTCAAGATACATAGCTGTTGTTATAAATGATTGAAATCATTGAGATGAATTATTACCTCTATTACAGTTTCTGAAGTGATTAAAGTGCTGTCACTTGAGCATTTCTTGTTCTTGGAACCAAATGGAAGTCAAATGCTTATGATTTTAAAAAGTTACACACATGTATTGCCTGGTGGCCATGTAGTCCAGACTGTTGTCATTTAGCCATTTGTTATTGGCAACTTTGGATGGTGGCATTCAGGTTGGTAGCTGTAACTGGGCCACTGGGGTTTGTTCCTCGAGACAGGCACTCATAACTTCCTCAACCCATTTTCCAAGGTGCCTCTGTGACTTCTCCAACTTCTTATGCCCCCTCAACCTCCTAAAACCCTAATAGTCAATTGGTCTTGGGTTGATCAGTGTTTATTCAATTGGCCACATCTCTTCAGAACCTATACTAGCTCTGTTCTGGAGGGTGCCTCTGTACAACAGGCCTGGTTCATCTGCCCAGTCTGTGTTCCCTCCTAACCCAGCGGTGCAACCACATCAGTGTACAAAGCATCAATTTCGCCTATCCTGCACCTCCCACCGTGTGCCTCGCACCGCTGTTGCTGTTGAAGGAGGGGGCCTCGCCTAAGCCACTTCGTCACTACAATCCTTGGCCAGCCTGGAGGGGCATCCTTCCGCATTATGCTTCTGCAGTAACCAGTCAGTCTTCCCGAGTCTGAGCTTGAATACCAGATTCAGGTCCTGGCATTACTATTACCACTACAATTACCAGTCCACCACCACCACAACTACTCCACAACTATCACATTTGGGTACCAGCCACTGCTTTTCCTCTACTGGTTCAAGTAATAAACAATTTCAGGTTAACAATTTGCTTTTATTTAAATATCCATTAATGTAAAATAATTTAAGTAACCTTCAAGGCCTGGTCACGGACCGGGATGCAAAGCCTCGGAATCATCGCAAAGTAATCTTTATTTAGTCCTAAATACGGTACTGTCTAAAAATATTTGTCAACATGGCTGACTGTATGTATAGCTGCTTCTGTCCTTTAATAGCTATAACCAATATGCCATACTATAGTTGTGTGACAGTTTCTACTGCATAAATAAAGGATTAATTCTTTTGTAATACGAAATATCTAGGGAAAAGACTGCTACTTGATTCAGGGTCCCAGTGATGGAATTCATGAGGGTAGAAAGCAGTAGAGAACATATCTATGTAAACATAACACGGTTAGGAACAAATCACAGCAGGTAATGACTCAGAGGTGGGGACATGCATTTAGACCTCCATTTAAGGGGCTGAAATACTAGGCGAGTACAAGTATGGAGGGCCTGATAGCCGAGTGGACAGTGCTCTGGTCTCGTAATCCTAGGGTCCGGGTTCGATCCCGGTGATGGCAGAAACAAAATGGGCAGTTACTTTCACTCTGATGCCCCTGTTACCTAGCAGTAAATAGGTACCTGGGAGTTAGAGCTGTTACAGGCTGCTTCCTGGGTGTGTGTGTGTGGAAAAAAAATTAGTATCAGTTGACTGAATGACAATTGAAAGGTGGGCCAAAAGAGCAGAGCTCAACCCCCACAAGCACAACGTCGTGAATACAAGATAAGTGTATTATCAAACCACCTCTTGAGTCAAGGGAGTTAAGCTTTAGGCTGCACAATGAAACTGCTTTAAACAATTTTATAACTGCTGCTGAAAATGTCAACTGGGAGTCCGAGTTAGGTAACATAGGGGACATCAACCTAGCGGTGCAATCTTTTCTACAAACAACTCTTAGCCTTTATAACACCCACTGTCCTATGCTTACAAAACAAGTCACAAACAAAAGGCTTAACAATCCTTGGCTTACAAAGGGAATACTTAAATCCATTAACAAAAAACACGACCTTGAGAAGAAGTATAGGTTAGGAACCGTCTCCAAAGAATTCTCAAAGAATTACTCGTTATTGCTATCTAAAATAATTAGACGAGCCAAAACTAAATACTATGAAGATAAATTTACCCAAATAAAGAGCAACATTAAAAAAACTTGGAGCACAATTCACAAATATTGGGATCAAAGAAGATTTTAAATAACAAACCAACACTCCTGTCCAATGACGTTGGTCAGCTTTCAGCCTCTGATTCTGCTATTGAGTTCAATAGGTTCTTCTCTTCCATTGGGTCATCCCTTGCAAATGATATTCCATCTTCCAGTACTGATGTTAATGACTATCTTACAGGTAACTATCCACAGTCTCTGTTCCTAAAGCCTACTAATTCCACTGATGTCAATGAGATAATCCTTTCCCTCAAAACCAAGTCTAGTGCCCTCGAGGAGATACCAACTTTAATTTACAAAAAAGCCTCCAGATCTTCAGCCCCTGCTATTGCATTGCTCTTCAACAAGTCACTTGAACTCCAAACCTGTCCAGACATTCTAAAAAAAGCAAGAGTAACCCCTGTCCACAAATGTGGTGATCACACAGATGTTAACAACTACAGACCTATATCAATCCTGCCTAACTTGTCAAAAATATTCGAAAAACTAATCTACAAGCAGCTTTACTCTTTTCTAGCCAAACACAATATACTTAGCTCTTGTCAATATGGCTTCAGACCCAAAAAAAAGCACTAACGATGCACTTATTAGTATGATTAACTTGATTCACGCAGCTCTTGATAAAAAGAAGTTCCCTGTTGGGTTATTTGAGGACCTGCGTAAGGCTTTTGACACTGTCAACCACCAGAACCTTCTTCTTAAATTACATCATTATGGAGTCAGAGGACACTCCCTGCAATACCTCAAATCTTATCTTACTGACAGGCTCCAGTATGTTTCTGTGAATAATACAATTTCTCCCACCCTACCCATCAACATTGGTGTTCCTCAGGGCAGCATACTTGGCCCTCTCCTCTTTCTCATCTACATTAATGACCTTCCAAATGCCTCCCAACACCTCAAACCAATTCTATTTGCTGACGACACAACCTTCATTTACTCCAGTCCTGACCCCCTTGCTCTAAATGCCACAGTAAATACTGAGCTAGAGAAAGTCCATCTTTGGCTAACTGCCAACAAACTCACCCTTAACATTGACAAAACGTTTTATATTCTGTTTGGCAATAAATCCTCTAATCATATAAATCTCAAAATAAACAATACCCAAATTTGTAACAAATTAGATGGTAAATTCCTTGGCGTTCTCATCGACCAAAAGCTGAATTTCCAGGGACACATTCTAAATATATCAAAAAAAGTTTCAAAAACTGTTGGCATTCTTTCTAAGATCAGATATTATGTACCCCGCCCTGCCCTGGTGACTCTCTATTACTCCCTCATCTATCCATATCTCAACTATGGTATTTGTGCTTGGGGTTCTACTACCCAAAATCATTTACGTCCTCTAATTACTCAACACAAAACTGCTATTAGTTTATCCAACTCTATATCCCAGAGTTTATCCAATATCCAACTCTAGCCCCAGACATCACTTGGTACCCCTACTCAAATCTCTGAATATGTTAGATATTAAGTCATTGCACATTCTCTCATGTGTATTATACATATATAAAATGCTGAACTGTAATGCCAATCCTGACCTCAAAAGATTCATTGAAGGTTGTAACAGAACCCATGAGCACCACACCAGAAATAAATACAGTTTTGATATTCCTAGAGTACGACTTAATCATATTAGAAATGCTCTTCAAATCAAGGGACCCAGAATGTGGAATGATCTTCCCAACCATGTTAAAGACAGTACCTCTCTCAACCAGTTTAAGATAAAAACGAAGCACTACCTAATAAATTCCCTGTAACCTACCTTACCCCTCTGTTGTCAACCCATGTATGTTTTTTTTTTTTTAAAAAACAACGCTGTTTGAATGTAATTTTCTGTAATAATTTGTAATTGTATTTGTGCTGCTTTTTCAACCATGTTCCTCCCTCTTTTACCTCTATTTTTATTTGTTCTCAACACATTTTATTCTTTTTACCCATTAGTTTTAAGCTTTAGTCATTAATGTTTTTCCTGCCCGAAACGCTTTGCGTAATAGTGGCTTTAGGCATTGTATGTACTAGCTCTATCTATTAACCCAACAAACTTTGTAAAATCTCTTTATGTATGTACCTTACCTAAATAAACATTTATTTATTTATTATTTATTAAGTTACAAACAATATTGGATTTCTAGATAGAGCTAGTACATACTATGCTTAGAGCCACTAATATGCACAGCATTTTAGGCAAGATGTGGGAAAAATACTTAGACTTAAACTTGAAACTAATTGAGATCAAAGCATAAATTGAATTAAAAAAGGGAAAAAAGAATGATGATAATTACATGATAGATGGAACAGCAGAAATTGAAACAAAACAGCAGAAGTAATTTTAACTAAATAAACAGAAGACTACAATTTTCTTAGTTTATACATTGCATACAAATTGTCAAATTGTACACAGGACGGCCTGAAAGCTGAGTGGACAGCGCTCAGAATTTTTAGTCCTGAGGTTCCGGGTTTGATCCCCGGTGGAGGCGGAAACAAATGGGTAGTTTCTTTCATCCTGATGCCCCTGTTCACCTAGCAGTAAATAGGTATCTGGTAGTCAGACAGCTTCTACGGGCTGCTTCCTGGGAGTGTGTAACATAGGAGGCCTGGTCGAGGACCAGGCTATGGGGACGCTAAAGGTATTTGTTTCTAGTGTGGTACCCATGGGTTCTGTTACAACCTTCTAGGAAGTGTTTAAGGTCAGAATTGGCATTTCAGTTCAGAGTTTTAAATTATATTGAGTACACATGAGAGGATGTGCAGTGACTTAATATCTAACATATTCAAAGATTTAAGTAAGGGTGCTGAATGCTGTTTGGGGCCAGAGTTTGTTATTGTTTTAATAGCAGATCTGTGTGATTAGAGGATGTAGATGATTTTGGGTAGTAGAACCACAAGCACAAATACCATAATTGAGATAAGAATAGATGAGTAATAGTGTGCCACCAGGGCAGGGCGAGGTACATAGTATCTGATTTTAGAAAGAATGCCAACTGTTTTAGAACCTTTCTTTTGCTATATTTTGAATGTGGCCCTGGAAATTCAGCTTATCAGTGAGAACACCAAGGAATTTATCATCTACTTTGTTACTAATTTGAATATTGCTAATTCTTAGATTAATTTGATCTGAGGATTTATTACCAAACAAAATCTAGAAGGTTTTGTCAATGTTGAGGGTGACTTTGTTAGCAGTTAGCCGAAGATGGGCTTTATTTAGTTCAGTATTCACTGTAACATTTAGAGCAAGAAGGTCAGGACTGGAGAAAATGAATGTTGTGTCATCAACAAATAAAGTGGCTTGATATGTTGAGAGACATTTGGAAGGTCATTAATGTAGATGAGAATGAGGAGAGGGCCAAATATACTACCCTGTGGAACACCAATGTTGATGGGGTAAGGTGAGAGAATTTGAATCATTCACAGAAACATCCTGTCAGAGCCTGTCAGTAAGGTAAGACTGAAGGTATTGGAGGGAGTGACCTCAGACTCCATAATGATAAAATTTAAGAAGGTTCTGGTGGTTAACAGTGTCAAAAGCCTATGTGGGTCAACACACAACCCAACAGGGAACTAATTTTATCAAGAGCTGCATGTATCAAGTTAATCATACTAATCAGAGTATCATTTGTGCTTTTTTGGGGTTTGAAGCCATACTGGCAAGAGCTAAGTACATTGTGTTTAGTTAGATAAGAGTAAAGCTGCTTATAGATTAGTTTTAAAATATTTTAGATAAGGTTGGCAGAATTGCTATAGGTCTGAAATTATTGACATCAGTGAGATCACCACATTTATGGATTGTGGTTACTCTGTTTTTTGTTTTTTTGTTTTT